GGCATGGCAACGGCACCTCGAACCGGTCGCGCTGGTATCGTGTCCCCGTTTCGACCATTGCTAACGCCTGGTTGTGTTCTACGGAAGGGTCCCCTTTCTGGTAGTTCAAGTCGGTGAACTCATTGTAGTGCATCATTTCGAGAGCCTGTTCTACCTTATGGTTGCTAGCGGTGATAGTGGTGAAGCTAACTGATAACGGCTTACGGTTTGTCGCATGAGGCGGTCCAAACAACGGCCACCCAAGCAGCATATGGTTCTTTCCTGGCGCCCAGTCTCTGATCCAGGACCCAGTGCACTTCNATCGACTTCGGGAGAGTCGGCCTCTTCGAGATGTAGGTCTCGCAAGTACGGCCAGAGCGTTGATAATTCCCTGATCGATTTAACTGCTCGCCATGGCAAGTCGGTGATGGTGAAAGCTACCGTCACCTCTACTCGTTCACCATTATCTAGCGAAACCAACGTCACGTTTGCCTGATCAGCGGATGTCGCCTTGGTACCGTTCACCGTGCTGATCGTCAGAGAGGATGGTAGGGTCGTGATGTTGTTTCTTACGGCGAAGCGCTTAGTGGTCAACGTGGCATCGGATTCGTTGTCAATAAACGCCATCGCCTTCACCACCCCCCTGGGTGTTGATGTGCAAAATGGTGTTACCCGGGACATACCTTCTTGTCTACCGATTGGGATAGTAGACATACGCTGGGTTTTTGGGATGCCGGTAACTGGGTTTCTCTTTAGAATGCAAGAGTATGGTGGCATCCTTGACACCCGTTTTCACTGCATCTAGCACGGCTCCTACAAGCGGCCGCACGATGTGAGCTGTTCAAGCAGATTAAGCACGCACTATTCCTCTTGGCTGCTTCCCAACGGTCCGGAACTCCTAGTTGCACAAATTTCTCATACGGGGATAACTCGTGACTTAAGCGACACATGGGACATCTGGGTGTGCCACGTTCCCCTACTGCTGCATAGTTATTTGCGTTTCTAGAACTTCTCGGGATCTCGTAGGTTCGTTCTTTAGCGTGATGTCTCTCTTCTCGCCTACTCATGCTGGTGAGTTGTCCTAAGCGACTGCTAGCGACTTTGGCACGGCTTCGGATGAATTCTGTTAGCTCGGTGAAATTCAGTTCCCTCCCTAAACGGCCAATGATCACCACCTCGCTCGCCCATCGCTGCTGTATTTCAGCATCTTAATATTGATTCTAGGGTGTGTAGAGCGTTCAAATCAGCTTCGTATTTCATTTGAGTCAGGGCAATGAAACAGTTATGCATCTTAATTACCAGTCACACCAACGATTCGGGTTTGTTTCTTGCTTTACGGGCCTCGGATATCACACCATCTATGAGCGTCCCTGCCACGTGAAACGGTTGGCTAAACAGTTCCTTCAGGATTTCCGTTGCTCGTCTATGCACAATTTCGGTCAGCAGCATTACACATTCTTCGGTGGCGTCCCGGGCCTTCCCGCTGCAGTAATGCTTTAGATACAGGAATTTCTGCTCTGGATCGGTGACCCGACACTCGACGAAATTATCAAATTCTCTAATCAACCTTCAATAGCTTCTGGGGTTCCCGTCGAATAGCGTTAGCTCCACCTTGTGCAGTATTATCCACGGATGGAGGTATAATTCTTCAATCGGTGGTTGAGCCAATTCCGTCTTCAGTCTAATGGGCAGGGTTTGTTTTTCCGTCGCGGCGTGCTTAATCAGGCAAGGTTGCCTAGCCTCTTATTCCCTGAGATTCATTGACCTAATGCCGTGCTCTAACTCTACAAGCTTACGGAGACATATATCAGACATCTTAATATCAGCACCATAATCTAGGGCGCATAAAATTCTAGCAATAACAGAACTAACTGAATTAAAAATGTGAGAAACAGAAACACCTCCGAAATTCCCCAGTTACTTGCCGGGTTACTTCCCGTCTTTCCTCCTCGGTCCTCCATTGCACTAACATTATTCTCTTGTTCCAAATTGTGCAAATTTGAGTATTGTGCCTCCCGAATAGAGTAACGGGTAGCCGAAATCGGATCCCAAAACGTCAATAAAACGAACGATCCAGCAAGGTTCTATGGTCCTGCAATAACAAAATATCAAATAAGCAAATTAAGCTGTACAAACCTCAACGTTATCTCGAAAAAACTTGAAACCAAGAGCCAAGTGTTACCGTGAGCGTAATTCAACAAATCTGAACGAAAGAAAAAGGAGTCTGGATAAGAATAGCACGCTCATCGTCAAGCTGCGCACGAAAGAGCCAAATGTGGGCGCTCAGGTCGCGATTAAAGAAGTAGGGTACGAATGAAGCAGATAAAGAAACAAAGTCAGATAGTGGGATCGATGTTTAAATATAGAAAGGGAGTGGAATGTCAAATGTTTGTGTATATATGAGGCGGACGGTATTAGGTGAACGGAACGTAAAATTCACGAAATGTGGAACCGAGATAGATTGACTGGGCTATACAGGAAGGATTTTCACAGATCGATCAATACACCCGACGCCCCGTGTTATTGAAAGCGGCAGTGATGAGAAATCAAAAAAGAAGGGTATCCGCCAGGTCCCAACCGCAGAAGCCGTCAAAATAGCGAGTTATCATGTCAACCAATTAAGAAAGGAACAATGGGAACAAGAGAGAATAAAACAGGAATAAAAGTGAAATGAAGAAACCAGAAGTTAAAAACCAAAAAGAAGGAATGACACATACAGGTGGCTCGGAAGGAGAATCCCCCTCGGTTAATTTCTCGCAGTCGAAGACCGGAATCGGGTAAGGGAGCAGGGGTAAGGCCTTTCTAACTGCAAACAGCACTCATACATCCGGACACCCCCTCACACAATGCATTCATTTACACACTAAAATCCTTGTAGGGGCGGCCGAGCTAGGTAGCCCAGGGGCAACCTATCGGTCCAGTGCCGAGCGAGCTGCGGATGCGGTTGTGTCAAGGTGAGGATGGAGATCCACTTCATCCTCCTTATGTACCTAATTTTGAAGTGCTCTGTGTTTTGGCTAACTTTTTCGTTGTTGCAGTGAAATAACGTTAGTTATTTCGCAAGTTTTACGCGGTTTTAGTACATCAGTGTTCTATTTAGTTATCCGGAGTTTATATTCTTTGCATCTCTTTTCCCGTTTTGCCTTTGCTGTATATTTTACCCGGAGTTCACGTTCTTAGGAGTATTATAAATTTTTATTTGTAATCTTTTTTGGTTAAACTATGCCACGAGTATCCTATCCGTGTCTCAATAAAGAATGCGGTAAGGGCGTAAGGGAATGCGTAAAGAAATTGAGTGCGATGTGTGCAAGAGATGGGCTCATCCAAAGTGCTCCGGTATCCGTGCAGAATTCTATTCACTGCACTGCCTGTATTTCACGTTGAAATTTTGAAAATCCTTCCAAACCCATGATGATTTATGGTGACATAACTCTATCTGAGTGTTGCTTCTCTATTGACATGGCTGAATCACAAACACCATACATTATTCTTTATTTGTTGATTCGATGCCCTGCATATTTGAATTTGGCGTGGTCAGAGAACGTGAGCGACTGTTTGCCTCTCTCTGGACATCATATTTGGCTCGCTTATCTGAATGCTTTTGGTCGCATATTTGAGGTTTGCTTTATTGTACATAATAATAATAATAAGCGTATATTTCACGGAGCCCCGTGAAGCACGCATAGGCATGATCAAATGTACAACATAATCTTCCATATATGAGAAAGCCGAAAAGGAAAACTTTGAAGGTCGCATTGAACATAATTACAAATGGAACACAAAGTAGAGAAGGTATCAGAGAAAGAAAGGTTCGAGATGACGGAATGCTCCAAAAGACCAAGTCGGTGGAAGTGGGACGAAAAACAAGAATCGTTATACCGGATGAATGATGAGATAATTGGAAATACGATAATCAGTGAGTAAAATAACAAGAGGCAGCCTGCAGATCGTTGGACGGGAATGGACAGAAATGGGGGTCACTCCGATTGTGCACGATGGGAAAGCAGCCAGTCGTTGGAAGATTTTACTGTATCTTGCTTCTGGTTTTTCAGTTATACTCCAAATTAATTCACTATTGAATATCGTGCCAATCTAACGGGAGTCGCCCTTTATTCTCACAGCAGCAGATCTCTGGAAAGGAAGATGGGAACGCATAACAGTCTAGGTTTTACCTAGCTGATGAGGGAGCGGGAGGGAAGGAAGCATGCAAGTTATCNGTATCTATAAAACAGTTGCCAAATATTGCCACTAGACAGATTATGCAATGGCAACAAAGGCGAAGTGAATAAATCCGATTAGTCACTATGGCATGAAAACAGATTGGGCATGTAACAAACGTATTCACCAGAAGAATATCCATTCCACTGATCAGCTATTTAGGTTGACCAGTGTACTGGTTCTTGAATCGGTGTAAAGTTGAACACTGCTGCCTTGTCAGCATGTGCCACGAGAGTGTGTGGTATATTAAAGATTGCGAATAGAGGATGTAGTTTTGATGTTCAGTATTATGGGTGACAAACCTAGTGTAGGTGTTCACCAGAAAATTGTCTATTCCACTGATCCGCAATGTAGGTTAACCAGTGTAATTGTTGAGAACTGCATGCATAAATGAACACTGCTGCCTTGTCAACATGTGCCACTGGAGTGGGTGCAATGTAAAAGATTGCGAATAGGTGATAGAGCTGAGATGTTCAGTATTATGGGTCACAAACCGGGTGTAGGTTTAAACTTTTTCCTATTCCACTTATCAGCTATGTAACTTGGCCAGTGTTTTTAATGGAGAACGGGTGTGAAGGCGAACACGTTTGCATGGTCAGCATGTGGCTGTTAGAGTGGGTTAGTCAATTGGAATCTGGTACCTGGTTAGCGGTGCCACAGATAATGACAAGGAAACCAATGTAAAAAGGATGAAGAAACATGTTGCTTAGTGAATATTAGGTCACAATACTTCTAAGGTTATGTGCCACAATGAGTTTTGTTCCACAAATCCAGCTTTAAAGATGAATGCGTCTACTGATGAGAATTGTTTGAGGAAGTGTACACTGTTACCTGGTTAGCATGTGCCAATGAAGCGGACGGAGTGAATTGAGGAATAAGAGTTTGAGAAAGATGTTGCTTAGTGGATATTAGCTCACAATACTTCAAAACGTATGTACTAAAATGAGGTTTGTTCCACAAATCAAGCTTTGAAGCTGGGTGCGTGTACTGATGAGAATGGGTTAAGGAAGTGGACACTGCTATTTGGTTAGCATATGCGGTATTGGAGGAGTAAGTGCTTAGAATGAATGAGATTCAAGAAACATGTCTATTCGGGAAATTAGGTCATAATTCATGTAAAGTCTGTACGAGAATGAGGTGTGTTCCACGTTTCCAGGTTGGTACAGACAAGAGGTCATTGAAGTTGGGAGTTAAAACTCGAGACATTGTGAGTAACTAACCTGGTTTCGGCTTTCATCAGAAAACTGATTCTTCCACTAACCGAGCTTCGAGGCTTAATCAGTGTACTACGTAGAGGTAGGTTGATTTGAGTACATTCCTGCTTGGTGAGATTGTGCTACAAGGAATAAATACTGCTGATATGGGGGCTCTAATGAAGATTTTGTGTACTACGTTTACACGATGTTTAATAATCTAGCCTGTATTCACAAGCTGATGATTCGTCGTGATGGTTGTGCAGTTGAGCAATTTTAGATAGAGTGAGAAAACGACGGATGTGATTCTTAAACGCATATGCCGACGTTATTTCCCTTATTTCGGAGGGAAGTTTATTCCAGAGGCGTGAATAACAAAGTAGCAAAAATTTGCGTCTGGTGTTTGTCCGAGCATTTGTTAGGGGGAGAACTTTAACATTATTACGAATGGGGTATGGTGGGTTGAGCCTAAATTGTATAACGTCCACCGAATGGGCTCGCTTATACAGGAGTCCGTGCAGAAGAGTGAGGTTAAGCTTTGCTCGGCGTAACCATAAGAGGTCGAGTTTTAATGGGAGACATCGCTCCATATAGTTTAAGTCTGAGGTCCAGCCAAGAATTTNTTGATTTGAGTACATTCCTGCTTGGTGAGATTG